GAGCAAACACTATGTTTAACATCAGTATATATTTCCTGCTCACTGAAAACAACACAAATCTGATTTCTGCATGTTGGTGAAATGTAGTCATATTGTCAGATGAGCTCATATTTCATTCCTTGTGATTGTAAGATTGTAATATTTATAGCCGGTTCCCTCCTCTGAAGATCTCTTCTGATCTTGGTCTCTTGTTAAAGGTTCATTATGTTTTATTGTAAAATAACATGAGAAGATAAATAACTGACCTTTGACCTCTGAAGAGCATCACTATCATATTCATAATCTAACGTTCATATTCACATCAAAGGTAACTGACAGAAACTAGGACTGGTAGTGAATCAGACTTCAGCAGACCGGTACCCACCTGTACCCGGCCAGGATATTCATGAGGGTGGACTTCCCGGCTCCGGAGGGCCCCATGATGGCCACCAGGTCCCCGCTGCTGAACCTCCCAGAGATCCCTTTGAGAAGCGTTTTGTAACCTGAGACGAGACACAAAGAATCAGTCTGCAGGTTCCCAGCCGGTCTGAGAGCAGCTCTTTGTCCTCCAGTCCTCCAGTCCACGAGTCCACGAATCCGGTTTCACAGCACTCTGGAGGTTTTACTCTGCACCTGGTTTCACGTGAATATGACACCTACAAACCTGAACAAACCTCAACTCAGATCAATAAAGTGGAACATAATCTATCTGCTTCACAGCTGGCTGTTGCTCACAGACCTATATCATATATATGTATATATAATATACATATATATGATACACATATATGATATACATAATATATATATATATATAATATATATTATGTATATCATATATATGTATATTATATATATATAATATACATATATGATATACATAATATATATATATATATATATATAATATACATATATATATATATAATATTATATGTATATTATATATATATATATAATATATATATATATAATATATATATATATATATGTATATTATATGTATATTATATGTATTAATGGTTCTGATGCTGCTGCTCTTCTAACTCAACAGGAGGAAAGTGAACGTAGATGAATCTTGTAATCTTGTGAGATAAACTGAATAAATCAGAGAATATATGAATGAAATATTTCAGTTTGTATCATTTTCTACTAAACAAACACAACGAATCAGGTTCAAGTCTTCTGTTCGTTCTACTTCATAAAAATATCAGCACTTCAAAATAATAACAGGGGTTACCATGGAAACAAAAGAGGAGGAGGATTCTGATAATGAAGATGAAGATGACCTGCAGTAACCGATGCAGTGTTCATCAGCTGACGTTCTTTAATGAGATTATCAGAATTAATCTGATCCTGACCGACAGTTACCTCTACTGCAGTAGTACTACTCACTGTACTGCAGTAGTACTACTCACTGT